AGAAAGAGAAAAAGAGAAGGGAGGGGAGGGGAGGGGAGAGAAGGGAAGGGAAGAGAAGGGAGGGGAGGGAAGGGAGATGGTGGCAGAGATGTCTTTTAAAATTATCCACTGGGCTGGGAAGATGGCTCAGAGGAAGAGTGCTTGCCTTGCATGCATGAAGCCCTGGGTTTGATTCCTCAGCGCCACAGAAAAAAACAGAAGTAGCACTGTGGCTCAAGTGGTAAGAGTGCTAGCCTTGAGCTGAAGACCTGAGGGACAGAGCCCAGGCCCAGAATCAGGCCCTATGACCAACAACAACAACAACAAAAATCTAGTTTTTATATAATAAGATGCATTACAATAGTAAAACTAATTCATATATAGTAAGTCTATATGTAGTAACCAATATGTAAAAAGATAAAGGATTTTTTTGTTGGCTGTGAGCTTGAACTCAGGGCCTAGGCACTGCTTTGTGCTCTTCTGCTCAAGGCTAGTGCCATACAACTTAAGCTATACCTCCACTTCTAGCTTTTTGATAATATATTAGACATATGATTCTCACAGACTTCCCTGCATGGCTGGCTTTGAACCATGATCCTCAAATCTTGGCCTCCTGAGTAGATAGGAGGATTATAGGAGTGAAACCACCAGCATCCAGCTTAGAAGAAATTTTTTGAAAAACTCACAAAATAAGAACATTAGCCTTAAAAAAAAAGATACAGTAACTGCAGTTTGGTAATAAAGATGAAGAAGCTGATCAATGGAAGAGAAGACACCCTCAAGAAACAAATAAAAATATAAATAATATTACAGCAGGTTGGACAGTGCAGTATTTAACTTGACATTAGGGACACTACTGATCTAAAGGGGAATAGGAAATATTTGATTCTTGGGCTAGAATGTATCTCAACGACAAAGGACTTGCCTAGCAAGTGCAACATCCTAGGTTCAATCCCCACTACCAAAAAGGAAAAGACCAAAAAATAAAAATTAAAAAAAAATCTATTTGATTCTAAGTCCCAAATATTTACATGAAATATTTACATATAAAAAATTGTAAAAAAAAAAAAATTGTGAGGCTGGGAAGGTTGCTCAGTGGTACAGCACTTGCCTTGCATGCATAAGGCCCTGGGTTTGATTCCTAAGCACCACATAAAGTAAAAAGAAAAAAAGCCGGAAGTGGTGCTGTGGCTCAAGTGGTAGAGCGCTAGCATTGAGCTGAAGAGCTAAGGGACAGTGCCCAGGCCCACAGTTCAGGCCCCATGACCGGACCCCCCCCCAAAAAAAATGTAAAACCAAGAAAAAACGTTTTTGATAATCTCAAAATGAAAAAAAGTTTTTCTGAAAATCAATGTGAAGCTCAAAAGGTACAGGATAATGAACTGATAAACTCAACTACATAAAAATAAAATATGTTCTCGGGGCCCAATGGCCCATGCCTGTAATTCTAGGAGCTTATTAACAGGATCTCAGAACCAAGCCAGCTAGAGAAAAAGTCTTTGAGATTCCATCTCCAATTAACTAGCAAAAGGCTAGACTAAAGGTACAACTCAAATGATACAGCTATGAGCAAGAAAGCAGAGTGAAGCCAGGCACTGGTGGCTCACGCCTATAATCCTAGCTACTCAGGAGGCTGAGATCTGAGGACGGAGGTTCAAAGCCAGCCCAGACAGGAAACTCCATGAGACTCTTACCTCTAATAAACCACCAGTAAACCAGAAGTGGCACTGTGGCTCAAGTGGTAGAGTGCTGGCTTGAACTGAAGAGCTGAGGTACAGCGCCCAGGCCCCGAGTTCAAGCCCCATGACAGACCAAAAAAAAAAGTGTGAAAGTTTGAGGCGCTGAGTTCAAGTTCCAGTACTGGCACCAAAAAAACAAAATAAAATACTTCTATAGCAAAAACATTGTAACAGTCAAGATACAAGTCACAATATGGGAAAATAGTATTAGCAACAAATTACAAGAGACTAATTTCCATACCATGAGAAAAGCCACACAAGTCATTCTAAACTTAACCCAACCATCCACTAGAAATAATGAGTAACAGGCATACACAGAAAATTTCCAAGGAAAGGATATAAAAATGTGTCTTAGAACTCATGAAGAGATATCTAACCTCATTTCTACTAAAATTAATGAAAATTACCTTTTGTTTTTTTACAGCTAAAAAAAGTTTGATAACATATTATAGAGAGGGTAGGTATGGAAAACAGTATTATGACACCATTGGTGGAGAATAGAAATTGGTACTATTTCTACAGAAGGCAATTTAACAAGAACTCTCAAAACTTAAAACACACATAATCTTTAGCCTAGTAATTTCATTTTTAAATGTTATCATAGATACATTCAATCATAAACATTATGACGTATCTGCAGTTATTCATTGCAGTTACAGTAAGATATTGGTGCAATCTTAAATGTCCATCAGTAAGCAACTGAATAAATTACTGTAATAAAAGTCAGCCATAAAAACATGAAACAGGGTTAGGGCTATAGCTCAGCAGTAGAAGGTGTGCTTAGCAGCTTAGTATATGCAAGGCCCTGAGTTAAATCCCCAGTGCCAAAAAAGGTCAGAGGACAGTTGAATGATTAATAACAAATAAATACATCCAACATAAATGAGAAAAGAAAATCAATGTAAAATAGTACTCATGGTTTTGTTCTGTTTTGTTTTTTAATGAAAGTCATTGTACTAAAAAGCAGAATTAGAAGCTTCTTTAAGAACACTTAAGAAACTAGGTCAATGTGCTCCTCTCGCAAAGAGACTAAAAGGTGACTAATTTTCCCTGGGCACACATTTTCTTTTCCTTTGAATTTTATCCCACATAAATATTATTCCTTATTCAATCAATTAAATAATTAAAGATTTCCTTGAAAGGGGTAGGAGAATATTAACAAAATAGAATTGTTAAAAGAAAGGTTCTCAGCTCAGTTTATTTAGGTTCAGATCCTAGTCAGATCCTGCTACCGTCTAAGTCGGTATGGGTGATCTTAGCCTCAGCAAACTTCAGTTCCCTCCTCTGTGACAAAAATGGCACTAACCATACTGGTTCTGTAAAAGGTAAGATTCCTCACATAAAGATCTTAGTACAAACTTAAAGGCATATGTAAGTTACTCAGCAGAGATTTTTGCTATTTTTTCAGATAAATCTTCTAATTGTTGTTCGTTTTTGTTTGATTTTTACTAAGAAGCAGATCTGAACCTACTTAAGAGGTGATAGTGAAAGGAGAGAAGACTGAAGTAAAATGCCAATGAAGTAGAGGGTTTATATAAAGAGATAATTTTATTACTTGAATGGGAGACAAAAGGTAAGAACAGATTGTACATTCTAGTTTGGAACAGAACTAAAGATATTCCCACCAAGCAGAAAAGATCATTCTGCTAAGAATGAAGGACAAAGTAGTGCATCCTGCAACAATAGTGATCAACTGAAGAGTTTACTAAAAGTAACAAAAGAGGGACTTAACTGCATCTAGAAAAGTTGTTTTGCAACAAGAATTTCAGGACTCTGTACCCATCAGTGGGTTTCAACAGTTACATTATATCTCCTGTAGGGCTGTATGGCACAGCTGTAGATGCTGAAGAATGAATTCTCACAGGCACAAAGAGGACGGAGAATTACTGAGTTCAGAAGTTCAATACCAACCTGAACAACATAGCAAGAGGCTGTCCCAGAGTAAAACAAAATTTTAAAAATAAAACAATTAAAATGGGTGGAAGATAGATAGAAAGGAAATGAAGGCCTCTAAGTAGAAATTTTAATGTAAAATTAAGAGCAGACTGAAAGGAATAATCATATGGCCAAAGAAGAAACACAACTCAAATGCCCATCAGCGGATTACTAGATAAACAAATGTGTTATATCCATGAAAAAACATAATTCAGACTGGGTCAGGTGGCTCACATCTGTAATCCTAGTTCCGCAGGAATAGGAGATCAGGAGAATTAAGGTTCAAAGAAAGCCCAGGAAAAAAGTTAGCAAGATCCCATCTCAACCAACAACCCAGGCAGAGTGATGCACACTTGTCATCCCAAACTCAGGAGGATATAAGTAGGAGGATCAAGATCTAAGGTCCATCCTGGGCAAAAAGTGAGACTTTACCTGAAAAATAAACAAAAGCAGAGAGAGAGAAATGGGGTGGGAGGAGGGGAGAGGAGAGTATGGCTGAGAAGACACAAGACCCTGAATTCAATCCCAAATACTGCCTCCTCAAACAAACAAACAAACAAAAAGAGAGCATGTAATTTACTCCATGAAAACAAAGAACTGATACATGTTACAACATATTATGCTTGCAGACCTGGAAGCAAACACCTGCAATCCCAGAACTCAGGAGGCTTAGGAAAATCAAGAGTCAGAAAGTAAATTTACTTGTCAGAGGCTGAAAAGACAGGAGACTGCTGACAGGTATGGCTTTCTTTGGGAGTAATGAAAGAGTTTGGAATTTGAGAGTGACAACTGCTACACAACAGTATGAGTATACTAAAAATGATTTTTAAGCGGAAGCTTTTATGTTAAGTGAACTTTTTCCTCAACTAAAAAATCCCCCTCCCCAAAAAAAGTATACGGAAGTGAATTTTTAAGTGATTTAAGACATCACAAGTAAACAGGCTGAAAGAACAGAGGTCTAGGTAAACTTGAAGAACAGCCGCAACAATGAGGCTGAGAACTGGAAGAACTGGAGGCACAAGTGAGAAAGCAGCCTATCAGCATTCCAGATCTCACAGCTTACAAACGTGAGGAGGCACAGAATATGGCACCAGAAAACAGGTGACAGGATTAGCTCAGAGGTCACTATCACAGGAGTTAGGGGAAAATTGTAAGGAGCAGAAGCACATACATACACAGTGCAGCTCTCAAAGAGGAAGGACTTAAGAATGCAGACAGAAACACAAAGACAACTAAGAATGGCTGTGTTTGTCATAATGCCAGCACTTGAAGAGGCTGAAGGAACAAATGAAGAGTTCTAGACTAGTCTGGACTACTTAGCAAGATTCCATCTCAAAAAAGGGGGCTGGGAAGGTGGCTCAGTGGTAGAGTGCTTGCCTTGCATGCATGAGGCCTTAGGTTCGATTCCTCAGCACCACATAAGCAAAAAAGAAAAAAAGCCAGAAGTGGCGCTGTGGCTAACGTGGAAGAGTGCTAGCCTTGAGCTGAAGAGCTGAGAGACTGCGCCCAAGCCCAAAGTTCAGGCCCCACGACCAGACCCAAAAAAAAAAAAAAAGGAGATAAGCCTTTGCTTAGTAGAATGTATTGGTGAGATTATAACTGAATAATATAAATTTACAAAGAGAAATGTTTCTATTTAAGAGTAAATGTCGGAAGTGGCACTGTGACTCAAATGATAGTGTGCTAGCCTTGAGCTGAAGAGCTGAGAGACAGCACCCAGGACCAGAGTACAAGTCCCACAACTGACAAAAGAAAGAAAGAAGAAATATCAAATTACTCAAAATTATCAAAGTAGTTGCTCCAATTCATTCATTTCATATTTCTTTTACTAAAGCACAGATGACAGGAATGCAAAAAGCTTATTTTCTATCTTTGAATAACACACTCTTTAATTCTCACTTTTTCATGTGCAAACTGGAGATGACATGAACTTTGCAACATTATCCAGAAGATTAGAGCTAACAGAAGTAAACACAGGACTTTGTGCCAAGTAAGTGCACACCAAATGAGGGTTTTATGTTTGTGTGTGTTTTAAAAGACAGACTGTTTTCAAGGAGCTTATAGTCTATTGAAGAAACACCACCATCATCAATATTCATTTAGAATGAGTTAAGAACCATGTTAGGCACTCGGTATATATATTAGGTGACCTTATTCTTATAACAGGAAATAAACATATACTCATATTTCCCCCTTTAAAAGATAAAGAAACCAAAGCACAAAAAGGGCAATTAGTTTGTCCAGGTCATATAGCTACTAATTGGCAGAACCCTGTTCAAATTCAAAGTAGCTACAAGTTTCATGCTCTTAACTACTAGGCTAAGCTACAAACTAAAAATTACAATAATGTTATAATAGCTTAAGTGGAAACCTACTCAAGAAATAATGCAATACAAGAAAAAAAGGCAAAGTTTGGTAGCAACTGAGCTGAGATTCAAATGATGTGCACTTAAATAAATAGGAACAAGCACATCAGTGAAAAGATGCAACCAATACAGAAATTATATCTATATGACAACTATGACACAATATAATATTGTCTATTCTAGAACACCTTGCAGAAGGGACAAGTAATTAGGCCCAATAAGCAATGTCACTCATGAAGCATTACTCACGAGAAAAAACTTTTAACTACTGGTAGCATACATTATAAGCAAAGTAAACATGACCTAAGTCATCTAGCTAGTGTAGCCTGTCATTGGTACAAGTTACAGTGATATTATAGGTGGAACTTGCCCTGAACAGTTAAGAAATCACTAAAATAATCTTGAGCAACCCCTCCTCCTTTCTGTCAACCCCTACTAGTTTCTCAACGCCAACACCTTCACTAATAACCACTTCTGTGTTCCTCAGATTTACTTCTCCCTATCAATGCCCATAGTTCTAAAGTAAAAATGATAAATAATTGCTTCAAAACATGTGAGAGAGCAAGATAATGAGTACATTTCTTATCAAGCATTGTTGCCTCCTCCTTTGTTTCCCCCTCCCATCCCTTCCCATCTCCCCACCACCACCCCTAAACCCCCACTCCCCAGCCAAAGTTGAAAGGTTTTTGACATAACAAATCATTATCTTGCCCATGTAATTGTAACCCCTCTGTACAGAATTTTCACAATTTAAAAAAAAAATATATGAGAGGTACATTTTATAAGGGATCAAGATCTTAAAGAAGAGAAACATACAAGCAACTATGGAACTTTGGGGAGAGAAGAGAAAAATAACTCCAGGTTAAAACTGTCAAATTTCTACCATGCCCTTTGGGTGAGAGAGCTCTAAATCAGGCTTAAGACTTCTAGTACCAAATGACAATATTTCAGTCTGTGGGGTTTTTTTGGTGTTATGATCTACTGAATCAGAATCTATGCTTTCAACAGATAACACCCCAGGTGATTCCAATGTAAAATTTGAGATGCATTACTTTACATGCAATATGTTTTAAAGTAATCACACAAATAGAAATTGTTTTTCAGAAAAGGTATTTCAAATATATGCGTATGATTTATCTCTAGAAATTTGAAGAGATTTAGCTAACAATAGTTGCAGAGGAATGAATAAATATCAGAAATCATGTCTTGCTCATTTTAGTATCTGCCTGGTACATGGCAGACTTCTTGTATAGCTAGCCAAAAAATATTATCAACAATTAATATAGAAGCAAGATAATGTATATTTACCCTTATACAGAAGATGGCTGCAACAATCACTAAGCATTTCTTATATTTTCTTAAAAATGGAATGAGCATTTTAAATTTTTATACTTAAACCAGATCACATCTAAATTTATAATTAATGATGGTCAAGGTTATATATAAAATCTACTAAGCATCCAAAAGGATAAATACAATCCACAAGATACTTAGCAAACTTTTAAGTCAGAATTTTGTTACAAATTCTTGCTTTGGCACTTAAGATTCTAGTTTCAAATAAATAAGCTACTCAGTATCTCTATCCTTAATTTCTTCAAGTGTAAAACTGGAATAGTAGCACTTACCCTGATAGAGATATAAATTAAAATGAACTATCTATAGTATGACTGAAGATACTAATCATTACCCATAGAAAAGAATTACTATTTTAAAATTCTTAAAAAATTACCTTATCAAGCTTCAGTTCCAATTCTGCCACATCTCCTTCTACTTCTTCCAAAGCAGCCCTAGAAAAGTTAAATATAAGTAAATTTTCATTTATTTAAATGTACTCTTGAATAATAACTTTAAATAAAGATATAGTTTCCAATTCTACTTTACATAGAGTAATTATTTTATAAAAAACAAATACTTCATAATCGTGTAGCTTAGCAGACATAGAACTTTTGTTTGGGACAATGAGAAGTTTCATTAGGCCGATGTAATAAAAACATTAGTATTATTCAAATTAACATCAGTAATTAAAGCTATTTTGCATGGTTTGTTTGTGGTTCTGGTGCTGGGGCTTGAACTCAGGGCCTGGACATGTCCCTGAGTTTTCCTGCTCAATGCTAGCACTCTACCACTTAAGTCACAGCTCCACTTCAGGTTTTTTTGGTAGTTATTTGGAGATAAGGGCCTCATTGACTAGCCTGGACTAGCTTCAAACCACAATCCGGCCTCTAAGTAACTAGCATTACAGGAGGAAGCCATTCATGCCCAGTTCTGCATTCATTTTTTTAAATAACTAAGAGTTTGTAAAAACAAATGCTAGATTCATAGCTAGACAGCTATTAATCAAATAATATCACCCAAAATCCCACATTAAAAAAAGCTTAAAAAATCAGAATAGAAAATGTTAAAAGTTGACCCTTAAAAAATCTGAATTCCACTTGGGGGGGGGGGAGTAGTTGGGGAGGTGAGGAGGGAAGGGATAGTAGGGGATTATGCTCAATAGGAAATGTACTCATTACCTTACTCTTGTAACTGTAACCCCTTTGTACAGTATCTTTACAATTTAAAAAAAAAATTTAATCAGATTTCCACCCAAGAAAACACTTGCAGCCAAGCAACTGTAATACTGACAACCAAAGAAGCTTTTATCTTAGCGATAATTCAGAAAAATAGAAACAAGGTTTTTACTTTGTTGTTTGTATTTTTTTATCTCTTTGTCTTGTTTATCTGTCTTTGGGAGGGTAAAAAGAGGCAAAAAATGGGAGGGACAAAAAGGGTGAACAAATGCAGCAATGGTATTCACTAGATACTATGTTGAAAATGAATGATACAACTTGTGGATGAGGACAGGAGGGAAAAACTGGGAGAGCGAGGAAAGGGGTAGGTGACACTGTCTAAAAGAAACGTACTCAGTACCCGACTTATGTAACCATAACCCCTTGGTACATCACCTTTACAATAATAATAAAAATGAAGGTAACTCAGAATAGTACTAGCTTTTATTTTCCTACAATGCAGAAAAATTAATATAGAAACTTTAGCAAAGGGTAGATTGTATAAAAATCAGAAAATAAATAGTAAGACAGATACTTTTTCACAAAAGAGAATAATGGGCAACATTGATCAAGATGCATTGTATGTTTCCAAATACTCTTTGGAAAATGGTGACTCCTTTGTACAACTACTTATAGATCATAAAAATATTTTTAAAAAAAGAATAATGAGTTCTAATACTAGTTAGCACTTTATAACAATACAATGCAATGTTCCCAAATTGGAAATTTATCTAAAACAATATATAGTACCAATTAGAACTTTCTTAAGGACAAATAAGATTTTATATTATAAGTTATATATAATAAAGTCTAACTCACCCACTTTAAGTCTGCTTAGTTTTTTTTCTTTTGTTGTTTTTTAATGCTGGTAACTAAACCCAGGACCTCACACACACCAGGTAAGTGCTCGATGAGTGGACACTTCCCAGTCTTATTTCATCTTCCTATATCTTCTTGATAAACTATTTTCCAACAATTAGCTTTAGAAGTAACTAAGAAGTGATTTAATCAGATAGTGGGAAGAAACTAACCTCCACAAAACTATTCCAAATCCTAGGTAAGACAGTCTCAGGCAGTGGAATGGAGCAAAAAACATTAAGATTCAAAACTATTTCCAGAGCTACCTATTTCACCTCTGTGTGATCTTTGAATCACTTTAACAGCTTATGATTCTACTTCTAAATCTGGTGACATTTAGTTATTTATTTATTTAGGAATCTGGTCATGGGGCCTGAACTCTGGGCCTGGGCACTGTCCCTCAGCTCTTCAGCTCAAGGCTAGCGCTCTACCACTTGAGCCACAGCCCCACTTCCGGCTTTTTTCTTTTTTGCTTATGTGGTGCTGAGGAATCGAACCCAAGGCCTCATGCATGCAAGGCAAGTATTCTACCACTGAGCCACCTTCCCAGCCCCGACATTTATTTTTTAAAGCTTTTAAATCTCCAAAATTAAAAAAAACAAACTATAAATTGTTCAGTAAAGAATTGCTCCCATATATGGTAAGAAGCATATCTCCACATCATAGAAACAGAAACACTTCCCTGACCAACAGTTGGCTATTACCTTCAGCAGTGTTTTTCAAAATACATATTGCTCCTTTACCTAGAAAACCTTTCCCTTTCACTTTAATTCCCACACCTTCATCTACAAATCATTTAAACTGACCCCATATGAAAACAAATACATGTCTACTAGGACATTCACTATACTTAACTATAAACCTGAATATCCAACAATGGGAACAATGTCAAGAAATGTACATTCATCTCACATAAGAAAACAAGTTTTGCCAGCTGCTGGTGGCTCAGGTCTGTAATCCTAGCTATTCAGGAGGCTGAGATCTGAGGATTGCGGTTCAAAGCCAGCCTGGGCAGGAAAGTCCATGAAACTCTTTATCTCCAATAAACCACCAGAAAACCAAAGTGGCGCTGTAGTTCAAGTGGTAGAGCGCTGGCCTTGAGCTGAAGAGCTGAGCCCAGGCCCAGAGTTCAAGACCCACAACCAACAAAAAAAAAAAAAAAAAAAAGGAAAAGAAAAGAAAACAAGTTTTGGGAAATGGTTGGTTAGTTGGTTGGTTGTACTGAGAACTGAACTCAGGGCTTTGCTGTTCTTAACCAGGTACTCTACCACTTGAACTATGCTTCCAAGCCCCTGTCTGCATTTATTTTTGAGGTAAGGTCTTGTTTAATGCAAGGATCACAGCTTGGGTTGTGATCCTCCCACCTGTACTTCACTGTATATATGGGAAAACAGGTACACCTCTGTGCCCAACCATTCTGCTTCCCTGTAGTTAAAATAATAGGTATTTACCTCTATGCCCAATTGTTGTGTTGGGTATCTTCAGCTCCAGGCAAGCGCTCTACCACTTGAGCACAGCACCACTTCTAGTTTTCTGGTGGTTTATTGAAAGTAAAAGTCTCACAGACTTTCCTGCCCGGGCTGGCTTTGAACCGCGATCCTCAGATCTCAGCCTCCTGAGTAGCTGGGATTACAGGCATGAGCCACCAGCGCCCAGCTAACTTTTATTTATCTTGACTCAAATTTCAATTTTTTTGTTCAGATGAACAGCTTAAATTTTGATGCAACCTTTGATTTCTTCTAAACTTATAGACTGATAGAAACTTCATGTACCCTTCAACCTTATTTCATCTTCCAAGTCTACCAAATTACCTTTGTGAAACAAAACTTTAAAGAAAGGTATAAGTTTATGTACAAGACAGAAATAACTGCTTTTTTACCTGTCACTTTAAAACAGTCTTTTTTATTCAAAGTATCTAAACTTTAGCCTTCCATTCAGCATTCAGTTTTCTCTTTAAACAGAAAAATCTCTTGCTGAGTACAAGAGATGACTAGGAAACCTAGCCAGTCTAGGGGGAAAAAAATGTCTAAGAAATTCCATCTCCAATTTAACTATCAGAAAGCCAGGCTGAAGACATGGCTTTAATGGTAGAATACCAACCACAGTCCTGGCACAAATAACAATAAAAGCAATTATAATAAGTTACTTAAAAATTAAAATTTTCTGTTGATCATAAAAGCTGTATATGAAACATTTGTAGCAATAGATTAGAAAGCTATTGTCTAAGGCATTTCTTAGTATAAAAACTAAATACTTCTTATATAACAAATGCAGAATGGAAGTGGCGCTGTAGCTCAAGTGGTAGAGCACTGGCCTTGAGCTGAAGAGCTGAGGGACAGCGCCCAGGCCCAGAGTTCAAGCCCCACAACCGACAAAAAAAAAAAAAACTTAAAAAAATGCAGAATAGGGGCTGGGAAAGTAGCTCAGTGATAGAGTGCTTGCCTTGCATGCATGATGCCCTGGGTATGATTCCTCAGCACCACATAAGCAGAAAAAGCTGGAAGTGACACTGTGGCTCAAATGGTAAGAGTGCTAGCCTTGAGCTGAAGAGCTGAGGGACAGTGCCCAGGCCCTGAGTTCAGACCCCGTGACCAGCAAAAAAAAAAAAAAAATGCAGAATATAGAAAAGGCACGGTCTCAGTTCAAATTGTGTTCCATCATGGCCTTCTCTAGGCAAAAGGTATCTTACAGAAAAATGTGCATCTGTAAAATAAGTAGCGAAGTAGCCCCTTAAAGGAACTATAAAAGATGATGCTGGTGGACTGCCTTGTAGACCCAGCTACCAAGTCTGTGAGGGGAAGAGATAGCTAGATCCCAAGGGGTTCATGACCAGCCTGATAACACAATAAGACCTCTGTATCCAAAAAAAGAAAGAAAGAAAAGAAGCTGTAATGAAAGTTGAAATAAGGGACTGTCCATACCATCAACCACAATTTTGACTCCCTATTACTTCTATTTATTAATGTGCTAAAACCATTCTGAACACATGCTTAATATTAATAGTTTATACAACATACCTTCAAATATTAGATGACAAATATTACTCTTCTGCAACCCTCCCGAATATTACTCAGCATATAACTGTTTTAAGGTGCAACACATTTTAAAAATCAAACTTACAGATCCCTCTTCCTCTCCAATCTTAAAATTCATTATTTAAAAAAAAAAATCAGGCTGGTAACACAGTTAGAACTAGAGCAGTTGCCTAGCATGTACAAGGTTCTGTGTTTGATCCCACTGCAACCACTAAATAAAAATCAAGCTACAAACACAAACTAACAATGAAAGAAAATATATAATTAAACAGTAAGATAAAATTTTAAAAATGAGGACAATAAATAAGAAAGAGAGAGTACAGGAGGGAAGGGGGAAAAGGAAAG